AAAATACACAGTGATTGAAAACGTATTTATAGTCTGATGGATTCTGTCTTATTCTAGTCTGTTAACTAGGACGGTGTTAGACAAGTGTTAATCTACAGGAAGCTGTATGCCTGCATGAAGGTAAAAAAAAATGTTCATTTTAAATGTTACTTATACTTCAAAAATCACAAAATAATTTCAACTTAGAGTTGAAATCTGTAGCTATCCTGTAATATTCATTTTTATGGCACTTCCTGTTATAGAATTTCTTAGTTGCACCTCCTAAGTAGGTGAAGCGATCACTGCAGCAGAATGTAAAAAACAAACAAACAAACAAACAAAAAAAAACAATAAAAATACTCTGTTGTGATAAGTTGGACACAGCAAGCTCAATGCTCAAGCATAATCTCATCATAAAGAGACTTATTTCTTTCCATTCGATTCTGTGATGTTATAAGTCGCTAAAAGTTCCTTTACTTTTGAGACAGATGTCATATTCAAGTGAGTGTGTTCAAAGGAACTCGAGCAGAAAGCGATTTTATCCAAGGCATACCAGTCTGTATGAAAAGGCTGTCACTGTTATTTCAGACAAGCATCTTTCATGATCTTCTTATACTGTTAAGTCGGTCGACACTGCTAACTGTATCGGAGATCGTCTAGACGAGAAAACTTTGGGATTTTGGAGTCATTTTGAAGAATGACATCCAAGACATTGCAGTAGTGGGCTTTTCCTGGACTTGACATGATGCATATTATTCTGGTTGACTCTCAATCAGCTGTCCATGCTGATGAGTTGATCAGGATTGATAACAATCAAAATAGCATTAGCAAATTCACATGGAAGATAGCCTGGCCATTGCTGTATTCAAATCTGTCTTATAGCAGAGTCTGGGCCTTCTCCTGTTTACTAGGATTGCCTCTGGTAGAATTTCTACGAGGCCAATCAGCGAACAGAAGGTGAAGTTGTGAACGATGATGTAAATTTTCTGCGCTGTGTTAAAATTGTAATCTGTAGGACACTCTCTGTTTTGAGGTCCATGGGAGTTTGCAAGTACTTCATCTTGTTTAACACTCCCTGCGTAGCATCAAACTCTGATGGAATAATGCTGTGTGTAGCCTGGTTGATTCACTCCAAACCAGCTTAAATTCCACATTACCATTGGATAGAAACAGACGGCAACAAGCAACTTTCATTTTACCATGCTGAGACGATTTTCGTAGAGTTTACCAGTATCGTACCCAAAAGGCTTCAAGGAAAAAGGAAATCCACCACCTTCACTGCTGAAATACAAACATAAAATTTAACGTGCAATTGTATCTCATGGACGTAAACTGTTTACTTTTTTGAAATTATTCACAGCAGCTAAAATGATTTTGTAAAATCTTACTGCAATGCGAAGTCTGCACTACAGGCAAAGGAATTACTGATACCACACAAAATAATTAACCATCTCTTCAATATATACCACAGATCAACTTATAATCATTAGATAATTTTTCTTGCAAAATCCAGGCAAGAAGAAAAACTAGATGTCACCCTCATTTCTGCGACTGTCTATTTAAATGTGTATTTGTGTTAACATAGAGGTCCTGAGCAAACCAGAGTACAAAATGACCATCCTTAATGCAGTTTTTTTTTTTTTTTTAACCAGGCAGAAGGTGAAGCTTTGTTTTGTTCTGCGTGTGGGCAGAAGGGATGGGCCGTATATTGTTAAAACTTTATGCGTCATAAAGCTGTAGGTAGTATGAAAGTACTGTGAGGCTGCATATGAAACGGCAAAGCTTTTACTACAAATCTTGCACACCGGCATCACAGGTGACAATAGAGTCGACACAGATTTGTATTTGCTGCAGATTTATGAGAGTGTAAACACTTTGGTAGGGAAAAGATTGTGAGGGAAATTTTATGCTGCCTGTTTTATTAAACAGCACAGGAATGAATTAAATTCACATTCAGCTCCACAAAGTGCAAGACTGTGACTTTTAAATTCAGCCATGTATCAAGTGTTGGGGGTTCTTGCTATCAGAGTGCTAGAGCTGCAAATACAGATTACTACCATTTAGATTTTTCAACAGTATTATAAAAAAGAGAACTATTTCTTTGTGCAGCACTCTGTTACGCGCACACACTTTCCAGAGCTTTATGTACTAAAAAAAGAAAAAAAAAAAATCTTCACGCCTGGCTAAGCTCTTGACACAAATACGCTGCTGTGGTATGTGCAAATGTAGATCTGTCTACAAAACAGAGCATTCTGCATACCCTCTGGAGACACATATTGTTGACTAAGAAAACAGATCCAATTAATTATTCACAGTATCTTCCTTCTTGAGAATGTCCTCTGACCCAGGCAAGAATTATATCTGGCCCTTTGCCCTGTTTTGCTCATCCATTTGGGTGATCAGGGCTTGGAAGACAGGCAAGAAGGAGCGGGACCTATCTACACAACCGTGAGCTATATCTACAGTGATACGACTGGTAATAAGGTTAAAAGGGCTGTCCATCAAAAAGCATTAGATCTCACCGACTCACTGTCTTCCCTGGGATACCCAATCAGGGCTCAATGAGCTGTGAACAGGCTCTGGGGAGATTAAAGTGATAAAAGTAACTTTGGGAAATGGACAGCTTTTGTGACAGGGACAATTATTAAGAAATCCTTCAGTCAGTTTGACCTTCTATCTTTTCTTTATTAGTCTGAGAATGTAGAAAAGTAAAGTTTTTAATGGCGAGGACAAAGATGGTTTGAAAGAGACTAACAGTGCGCACAGCGTGAGTGAAACAGTGAAACTCCTCTGACGTTCCCTTTTTAAAAACACAGCATGAGCAGCAGTAATTGGAAAACTCTTATTGCATAATGTTTCTTTTAAAGCCACAAAGGAATAGTGAATGATGGTAACATATGTACACTGGTAATTTTTGTAAGAATGTTGAGCCCCACGCTCCTGTCACAGAACTGAGCACATCTTTTCACCTGAGGCCCGTCTTTTGCGCAAAACAATTTTATGTTTTAACCTTACTGAATTGTTGCTGAATAGCCCAGGACACTCTTGTAAAAACTTGTTTTATTCTCAATGAGTTTTTCGCTTCCTGTTTAAATAGAAGTTCACAAACATTGCTTTGTCTATAAGGATAAACAATTAGATAATAATTGTTAAAGTTCTTTGATATTTTTTTTTCTCCTTCAATCCATACTGTACTTAGCAGAGAGACAAATCAATAGGCTCCACTGAATTTACATTACCCATTTTTGAAATGCAGAAACAGTAGCCCGGCCATTGCCTTTCTGTTCAACTGCCTGTAGTTTTAGCAATGGCAGCGTTCAGTCCATGTTGGCCACGCTTCCAAATTTTGAATTAACGTTAAGGGCCGCCTCGTTCAGCTTCTCTCTTCGCAGCAGCACAGGCAATTTCCACTAAGCTTCATAATGTGGAACTTCGTGTTGCATACGTCACAGGCAAACGTTAGTAATTGGATAACATTTAAAACTTCAACAGATGCCAAGCCTCCAGGAAGCAATCGCTTCTTGACTCTCTGTACGAAGCAAATGGCGCAGGAGAAGGGGCTAATTTTTTTACCATATAGAAACAGTAGTAAAGAATCTATGCAGTGAACTTTAGGAAATAGTTTGTGTCAATAGCTGTCATGGAGTAAATACACTAATAGCTATTTAGAGCAGGTTCCATTCAATATTTAGCTTCCACCTTATGAAGGATTTTCTAAACAGTTTGAACCAGAGCAATGCTATTTCTTTCTATGCCTCATCACTGTTACGCCACACAGAATTTATGTTCTCACATGCACCATATGCTAATTGCATGCTAACTGCACAGAGACGTTGAAGAATCCTGATAATGATTAGCTGGGTGTGCTAGGAGTTGTGTTTTTTTTTTTTTTTCTGTCTTTTTAACTTGTTCTAAAAGTTTCTGCACAGAAACAAAGAAATGCGATTTAATTTTGTTTTGTATGGCAAGAGTTCACGTTTGAATTGGTCCACCTCTGAGTAGCAATTTGCTTTTCACCGTTTTCTAAAAATGTGTTTGCTGTGACTACATGCACAGCTGTAGCATGTTAGACATCAACCGTGTACAAACGCTCCAAGCAACCCCTCTTACGAGGCAGAAATTTTGTAAGTCAACATGCTAAAGAGATTGATTCGAATTATGAAAAATTTCTCTCTAAATGCAGTTCGGAATATTCATGAAAACTCCCAACACCTATCATGAAATGTGTTACTTTATTTTCTGCTTTTGTAGCATCTATGAAAACACAGTGAAAAACCAAAAATAAATACAACATACTGTGCTTTATGATGGTAAAGTGGAAGACCCCCCCAACCCCCAATTCCTGCTGCATCACACAGAGGCACACACACATCGACATTCGCTTCGGCTTTACTCTTGCTCCCCGATGCTGCGCTCGTGAAACTCCTGCATTGCACTGAAAGAACTACAGAGCAGAATCCGAGGAGAACCAAACAGCAGGACTGTTGACAGGCTCCTCTCCGCTTGCGTCAGAGATTCATTGCCTTTCTGATTACCCTGCCCCCGCCACGAGAGCGAGTGGATGCATAGAGATGATCTATGTAGCTCTGCAGTGGCATAAGATAAAACAGGGCATGATGTGATGAGCGCTGGAGGAGGGGAATTTGTGTACTTTTCTCATCAACACTTTTTTTTTTGTTGTTGTTTTTTTGTTTTCCAGCTCTCATGCTCCACAACTACCTGGTATCCCTCATTCTCCCCTCTCTTGCTATTTATCACAGGCTTGTTTGGCGCTCACAGCTTTTGGGTCCCTCATAAGGAGATGCACACTTTTCATCCGACAAGTCACTGGAGAAGGGATTGGAGAGATGAAACGCAGCATGCGATGCCAACTGCAGTCAAATGTATAGGTGGGGGGAGCTTGGATGTGGTGCCACAGTGGTATCATGCATCAGCAGCTTTAAAAACCTTCCCTTTCGTATTTTATCTAGCCCTTCTGTTTTATCCTCTTTTTTTTTTTTTCTTCAACAGTAGAGGCTTACCTTCAGGTCTCTGCAGGAGTAACTGGCAGGCTCCCTTCAAGGCATTTCAAAGCTGCTCTTCGCCCCACGACTGTACGCTCCTTCCCTGGCTTTGTTCAATCAACAACAGCCCTCCTGCCTCCCTCCTGCCACCCAGCTCCTTCTGCTCTTCACTGCTCTCTGTCTACTTCTGTGCGAGAGGGGGGTCTGTGTTTGTGTGTGTGACGGAGAGTGAGAGAGTAATGGAGAGAGCAAGAGAGAGACGGCGAGAAAGGGAGAGCGGATAGGAGAGAAGATGTGAAGGATGTTACGAGCTGTGTTTTTTTTTTCTCGGATATTCTCACTTTTCCCACCCTTGTCTTTGGTGATTTGAACTTTGTGTGAGCCTTTTTCTTCCTATTGCAAAGGCTTACAGAAATCGGTCCAAAAATAAGTCAAGTACATGGTTCATGGTGTGAAGAAGGGATGGATAGGTTTTTGTTTTTGGATAGGGACAACAGAAAAAAAAAAAAAAAAAAACTGTTAAAGAGGAGGCTGGCATAATCAATTGCACTAAAACAGCAGTTGAATAAAAGCCTGCAGGGTGCAAGAGTGATAAAAAAATAGAAACGGAGAAAAGAAGAAGGGGAGGAAAAAAGTGAAGCAGGATAAGCATAAAGAAAAGAAGCCAGCAGATTCAGAATGTCACATTAAAGTTCTTGAGTGGATGTCATACAAAAAGATCCAAATTTTCTTCTAACTCTAAAGACGCAGCCTGTTTTCAAAATCTAACTCAGGACACATGGGGGTTCTTAGAGTACTGACAACAGCTCTATTTGTGTCACAAATTTCCATCTTCAATAGTTAATGAGCAAAATCGGCAACGGCCCCTTCCTACGTCTCCGGCTAGACAAATAAACTAAAGCAGCTACTGCTGCCGTCAAATATGTGCCCATTTTCATTAAGTAGGTTTCACTACTTAGAGCTGATCTGTTTTGCTGTGTTTCTCACGTCGATGAAGCCGGTTAAGGAACTGCAGCTGCCATTAACCACTTTGATTTACTGTGAGCTTGAAGCAGGACAGAAATGCAGACCAGAGCTTTGGAGCAGCAGGATGTTATTTTGAACTGCACAGGGAACAACAGAAGAAAACCAGGAATAAAGAATAATCAGTAAGCTTATATACATGGAGAACTGCTGAATGGCATCATGGGAACCAGGTGAGTCCGGTAAGGGATTCCCATCCTGCTCCTCCAGCTGGGGAAACCACTAAGCAGGGGAACTGAGAGAAAGACACAGATAGTGCAAGGGGAGCTGAACTAAACACAACGGAGAGAAACTCTATTATTAGAACTAAACTAAATGTAGAAAGAGAAAACCGGAAATTAATAAAAACCTAACAAGCTAAAAAAATGAACTAACCAGAGCAAAATCCAGTGGCAGAGATAGATCTTCATTGTAAATAACTGACTCCAAGCTAAACACCTAGCCCTCTGTTTTCAGCTTTGGTCAATGCAAATCATAATCAACTACTATTATTTACATGTGTTGTCTAAAATATGTCCAGTTCAGTGCAGGACAGCACTGCTTCAATTTATTTCAAACTTATTTCAACATCTCAAGCAATATTCTTTTCAGCACATCCTTTTCAACAATATCACAATCTATATTTTGTTCAAATGAGCTTTCAGAAATCTAAGCCATAAAAATGAAATAAAATAGAAAAATGAAATTATCAACTAAAAATAAAAACACAATTAAGTGTCGTACTTTCTTATAAGAGCGTCATCTTTTTCCTCTGCCAGAAAACAAAATTCCTTCACAGCTTAGATTTCACAAATATGAAAACGTGAGTTGAAGGCCTTATTTACACCCAAACTGACAAGTCAAACAAGGAGATCAGAGAAGTAAAGAGTCCCATGGCAACTGAAGGAACTACAGAGCCTAGAAGCAACAATTAATTATTAGGTTATTAATGAAATTTACATTTGTTTAATCAATTACTATCCTATTTTTATATATATTCTGAAGAATATACTATCAATACTTTCAAGGGGGATTTTTGTTTTCTTCCTGAAAGTGGAAGACGACAGCTTCCCAGGTTAACATTGTGCTAATTGCTCAATTGCTTTGCTCAAATCACCTGCCAAGTTAATTCATCTCAAATTATTTCCAGAACTCTAACTGCACTTCCTAACAAAACAATAATGCCATTCATCATGATGATGATGAGCATGCTCTCCAAGCAATGATGGAATTCATAGCAAATTAATCGGACATAAAAACAAAAGAGACTCTGTGGGATCATTTATTCTTCATATACTCAGTTTAATCAGCTGTTTTCAAAATTCTGAACTCTTTTGTATGGTAATGTGATAGATGGAAGAGACAGCATCATGGATACTTAGCAATGTTCAGCAGGTAGACGCATGTTTAAAAACATAAACATAAAGACGACAATGAACGAAGTAGTCAGATTACAAGACAAGTAATTTGGCCGTTTACTACCAGAAGTTGCTTCATGCGCTTTCTGGATTGTGATTGATGACTTTGCAGTCCTCCCTCAGGTTCTTCTCTATTGCATGTTCTCCAGCAGCTAAAAGCACGGTGACACTGCAGGGATCTGCTTCTTCTTTCATCAGCCTCCAGCCCCTGTGGATGTGATCACACTGGATTACAGGACCTCGAGTATTAAGGCTGCAAAAAGGATGATCTCTGTGACTGGCTTAGGGATAAGAGCTCTGGGCTAGAATCACACTCATGCCAATTATCACACGCGTTAACCATGTTGAAAATACAAATTTGAGCATCATCGGCATGGATTTTCCGTTTGATCAGCCGCATCATGGAACCGAGCGGCTCAGATTGAGGAGGATGTAATCATCATTTCCCCTCCTGAGGTTCCTGCTCTATCGATCAAAGCCCAGTCCCTTCCACTTTATTGCATGTGCTGTTCAGGCTGTGGGGAAACCCTTTCAAATTTCTGTGCAGTGCTTACATTATTTTGAACGTGTCAGAATCCCAGGTTATTTAGGTTTTGGATCTTTTTCAGAATTTGTATTTTTTTCGTCAATTTCTTGTTTTATTGTGCTCAGCCTTGTTTTTGTGTTTCTGTCAACTTTTCTTTGCTTTAGATTTTTTTTTTCTAGCTGTTTATTTACTTGTGTTTAAATTTCACAGTGAAACTTTATTCTGTCGTATTTACTTTATTCTTTGTTATTGTTGGAATGATCTTTTTCCTGGTTGCAAGTTAGTGATTCTTCTCCGTTGCCACTCCCATACCATCTCTCTGTGTCTCACTCAGCTTGCCTCTCTGGTCTCTACTCTCGGCTGCAGACTTTTCCCAGTCAGCCTGACCTAATCAAGTTCCCAGCCTATAAACTCCTCTTTTTCAGTTATTCAGCACTGGATTCTCCTGTTTGTTCCAGTTATTGTTTCTTTATTTCTCCTGGACAGCTGCTTGTGTTTACTTGCCTGTAAATTTATCCTATCAATATTAAAAAGACTCAAACTCGCCGCTGCCTCCTGCTCTGCCGGCATTGTGAGTTCGACTACTGCTACACTCATCATGACAGAAAGTGTTTTCAAGCTTCATGATTGAAAACACTTTCAAGCATTGCAAATTTGAATAATTTGCAAAGATAAATTATTCAATAGCATTTGAGATTTTTTTGTTATTTTTGGTCTAATCATGTATCGAATGAGGATAAATTACCAAAATCCCAAATAATGAACCCTGCACCAAACTATCTTCCAAAGAGGTTTAAATATCAAGCTGAGACAGGGAATTTAGTTCTTCCTTTTCTGGTATTAGGATGTTAGGAAGTTTAATTTGTCTTTATCTTCTCTGCTTCCCTTGGTTGCCTGAGCCTGACCGCTCAGCCTGACCACTCAGACCACTACGGCCCACTTTTCCACACTCATCCCAATAGGCTCCCTAATGATTCTTTGGTTTAATGATGGACTGCACTGACACAAATCAGAGTCTAAAGAGTAATCAGCTGACAGACATAACAATCTTTTAAATAAAGCCAGGTTTCTTACTGCAAAATAAAGTTCCAAGTTTTTAACTGAAAACTAGGAATCATATTTGTATGGAGCTATCTGAAAGATACTGAAGTATATAAGCTCATTTAGATGATAAGAAAACAAAAACGACTGGCTCGATATTGAAAAGGGAGAATGTAACAAAGAGTTATTTACAAAATAAATTGCTCCATAAATGTTGGAACTCACTGGAGTTTTCTGTTCCAGCTGTAAGTTAAGCATATTTATGCAGTGCCTTGGAAAAGTGCTTAGAGTAGCACAAGATGTTGGAATGCACTTCCTCTGTCCTTTCACTCCACAAACACCAGGGACTTATTTAAAATCTGCTGAAAGGGCATTTGTATCTAGTCTTCTATTAGATATTTATTGTTATATTATTGGCTTAATGTATTTTTTTCATCCCTCTCAATCAGTTTAACAAGTAGTATTAATTACCCTCTTCCAAATCTTGTCATATCAGTACCACAAACTTAACTTAAATATGTCTTATGTGGATTTTTTGTTTTACTCGATAGATCAACATAAACGTTTTCATAATTTAGAAGTAGAAGAGAAATGGTAAATCTAAGTATAAATACGGCTCTTGTGTGAAGGTCCTAGAGATTTGTTAAAGAACATAAGTCTCCTTAGTTTGCTACAAGCTATTCAGGGACACTGTAACTTGTAGTAGAATATATATATATTTTTTCTCTATTGAACTGAGATCTGGGCTTTGACTTGGCCTTTCCAGAACATCCACTTTATCTTCAAACAATTTCTTTGCAGCTTTACCTTTACTCTTTGCGTCATTGGAAAATTATGTAGCTGGAAAATCCATATTCTCTGAAGCTGCAGTTCTCTGGCAGATGGAAAAAAATGTCTCCACCACCATGCTTCACAGTTGGGGTGGTGTGTTTGTGGTGATGTGCAGTGTTTAGTGTCCACTAAACATCGCATCTTTTCTGATGGCCAAAAAGATCAATTTTAGTCTCATCACACCAAAGAACTTTTCTTTCCTATTTGTTATGGAGTCTTCCGCATGCCCTTTGGAAAACTCTGGTCCACTTTCCTTCAATAGTGACTTTCTCTTTGCCACTCGTCCTTATAGCTTTGACTGATGAAGAACCTGGGCAACAGTTGTAAGTGCAATGAATAGTTTAGATCATGTTTTAGAATACACTTAATGTAGTTAATAATTTGTGATTTATTTATTTTTGAGCTTAATCGAATTTGCAAAGAAG